AAGGCTTGGTGCACAGGGAGGCTCTGTGGGAGGTAGTAGAAGTTTGAAGAGGTAGCCTTAGAAGGAGCCCTTGAGATCACTGGGGAAGGCTTTAAAAGGGGATCATTAAACTCCAGCTCCCTACTCTCTCTTTTTGCTTCCTGCCCTTGAGGTAAACAATTTTACTCTACCACATGCTTCTGCTATAATGTGCTGCCTCACCACAGGCCCAAAGCATTGGGACCAACCCACTGTAGAATGGAAGTTTCAAACTATAAACCAAAATAAGTCTGTTCTCATTATAAATTTATGATCATGCATTTTGTTATAGTGACCAAAAAATAACAGATGAGAAAAACCTAACTATATCTCTGGAAAATGGAAGACGAGATGAAGGAATATCTCTCTTGATGTCCTAGAAGAATATTGACTGAAGTCTGTCATTAGTAAGTGTGGCTGGTGAAACTCTGTGATAAACATTGAATGCTTTTAGGAATGCTTGTCTTGCTTACATCTTCTCTCATGCACATACTTACACTTAGGGTCAAAATTTTTTACTTTTTAAATTTCTCATAGGTTTCTATTACCTTACAAGTCATTACTGTATGATTTTAGATAAGTTGTTTAAGATTTTAAAATTACGGTTTCCTCACTTATTGCATAGGTATAGCAATAGTATTTACTTCATAGCATACGAAATTTAGCTGTGATGATGCTTGTAGCAAAGTAAGATCTCAATAAATTTGAACTATTGGTGATACTGATATTGGTTTATGACTGTCCCTTCTTCTTAGCACATTACAGAGAGTTAATGAATATCTCTGGGAGATGAATAAAGCTTAATGTTTATTTAACAAGAAAATAAAGCTTTTCTTCTTCATCAAAAGAATCATCATAACAAAAGGGTGCATACATCAATAGGGAAACTGGCCTGTAAATCAATAATTAATTAATGAGTTTGTGTTTTCATAGATTTATTAAGTATATATTTTATAAAATACTTTCTGTGTGCCAGGCATGTCCTAAGCCTAGTGCATGCAGAGATGAATAAAAGGGAAGAATTATATATCGGTATGGAGTTTAAATTTCCTGAGGCAGAAGATGTGAGTAAGGAGATGAGCATGCAGCTCAGTGGTAAATAGTTTGCCTAGCATGCATGAGACCCTGGGTTCAATTCACAGCACCACACACAAACACACACCAACACAAACATGTGAGTAAGCAAGCTAATGTATAATGTCCACTGATGATAAGGCCAGGAAGAAAAAGTTACATAGGTAAGAGGAAGTGGCATTTGAACAAAATGCTTTTATATTTCTGCTGAAATCAGTGAGTTCCTCTCTACAGAGAAAGTACTTAAAATGAGTTTTGAACATGATTAGGTATTCATTATGAGAAGTGAAGGAAAGAACTGAGGTGAAGGAGGAGCTAGTAGTGTAAAGGCAAATATTTAACAAAGATTATAAATTATTTGGATAAACTCATATTAACTCATTGAAGGTTTATTGAGGACCATACCTAGTGGACCAATTCTATGGCCTATGCTCTGATAGACATTTTAGTTTAAATGAATTATCTTAGATTCCTTTCTATGTCAGCACATTGATAGCTACATTATATACATTCCAAGAAAAGATAGAAGGAGCTTGTTTCTGTCACATTTTTCACTGCTGCATCTAAAAGACCTGACCAGAACAAATTTAGGGGAGGGAAAGTTTATCTAGGGTCTCATAATTTCAGACATTTCAATCCATAAACAGCAGACTCCTTCCTCAAGGCTCAATGTGAGGCTGAACATCATGGAAGAAGAGTGTGGCAGAGGGAAGGAGCTCACATGAAGTTCAGGAAACAGAGAAAGGTCTCCACTCACCATATTAAAAATATATACTTTAAAGCCAGGCCCAATGTGCCCCCACCTGCTTTCAATTACCACTCAATTAATTCCATCAGGTGATGAATTCACTGAGTTAAGGCTTTTACATACCAATCATTTCCCCTCTGACCCTTCTTGCATAGCTTCACATGTGAGCTTTTGGGAGATACCTCATATTCAATCCCTAACAGAACTATTTAAACAAAGAACTTTTAACTAAAGGGTTAACAAAAGTGATAGGTTTTTAATTTGGGAGACCAGATAGTAATAGATGAGAAGGTACATACATAGTACAAGTGCCAAAGACAAACAGTAATAGCAAATTAATGGGAAAGGATAAAATGAGATTCCTAAGTAGATACAAAGACATATAGATATATTAAACATTTACCAATTGGATATAGAGATGGGAGATAGGTGCAGGAAGCCTCTTCACACTTTCGCTTGGGGCACTGTATGGATCACAGCACCATTATCAACCAATCTGCATGGTCTCTGTAGTCCAGAGAAAGATGAATGGCAGAAACACAATAAAATACATAAAAATACCAAGCCTCAGAATCTCCAAGTTCACAGCTAGAAACTTAGATGATCCAGTGCTTCAATTGAGTCTCCAAATTTCAAAGGCTAGCAATGATATATGTCAAACATATTTCCAAATAAAAAAAATAGAAAAATCTTTATTCAGATTTGCAAAACTGATCAGTTATATTGAACTTTTGATCTATAGACATGTTGAAATATTAAACCCTTCCTTTGTGATAATAGAACATTTTTAATTATTAATGAGTTTTTGTGTTGATTTTCATCACTGGATTGCCTATGACCAATTGAATGAGTTTGATGATAATAAGTTATCATGATTTATGTCTGTAAAATTCTTTCCAGTAGAGGTAAAATAATTTACTTTTTGCATTCATATTTCAAGAAATTAAAATCCTCCAATTTTATTCTATAATGTTCATCCAGTATCCTAATTTATGCAACCACTACTCATGGGATCACTGGGGTATTCTTACCAATATTATGCCTTCTTCAAAATTAGGGCCTATATTTTTCATCTGGAGATTTCCTCTCTAGAGGCAATCAGAATAAATGTGTTTTAATATTGTATGGATGTAATATATATAAACAAATGTTCAGTTCTCCCAACAGAACTACTTAGTGGCTGCAGTTTTGAAATGTATTTCATGTTCCCAGCTTCCAATTCTTTAACAATCTAACCAAAAGTGTAACTGTAGTTTTTGTGATAAGCTTCTAAAAGCCATGACATTCAGGAGAACCAGTAATTATATTTGGGCACAAATCAAATTTAATAGTATCTGGACAGTTCAGATCAGAAATCAAAAGGGCCTTCAAGTAAGACCAGCCATTAAACCAAATGTGCATGATATACAAGGTCATCTGTAGACCATGTAATATCTGTCTAGAGAAAATTACATAGAGTTCTCACATCTTATACGTTACAAACAATGATTCTTTAAAAACAAACCTGATTTTCCAAATACATTTATCAGAGCAAGTTTTTATATAACTACATTCCTAAGAAAGAAAATGAAAATTTGCATGCATACTAGTTTACATATTATTGAATTTTATAGTTGATGATGAAGAATGAAAACTCAATGATGAAAATCATACAGAATAGTAACTGCATAACTAATATATAGGGACCATTCCCATGCTCTTTTAGTTTAAAGCATGAAATAACTATTTGATGAACTCTTTATTTTAACCAACAGATTTTGAACATACTAAATTTTAGGGTTCAAAACCACACAGGCAAAATTAAATTCTTCAATTGTAAAAGAGACTGTGAAGTCTTGAATTGATGGTTTCCAGTTTTAACAATATGTGAGCATGGATATGTGTTTCTCATTTCATTCTCACAAATACAATGAAGGCCTTTTATGTGAGTGACTGGTCTGTTGAACTATGAATTTCTTTCCTCCCTCTCTTTCTCCTTTCCTTCCTTCCTTCCTTCCTTCCTTCCTTCCTTCCTTCCTTTCTTCCTTCCTTCCCTTGTTTGGCTTTCTGATTTGAAATAAAAACTATATATAGGTAAAGAAGATTTATAGTTTTTCTATGACAAACTGTACATAGAGCTATTTTCCCCTTTTGAAGGGGAATAAGAAATATATCTTAGGGGTCTAAACTTGAATTTAAGTGCAGACATGTCTGATCATATCCGATACACTGTTGGAGCAGCCTTCTCTGGACAATTTCGAAGTTCTCCAAGAAGTTTACTAGATGAGTGCTCCAACTGTGATCACTGTTGAAATTCTAAAGTGCCTAACCAAGAGTGATAGACTTGAAGAAGAAACGAAAGGAAACTCGCTCTGGAAGAACTGAGGAATTTTCTGGGTGGGAACAATCCTAAGGGAAGAAAGAACTGGGTTCTTTGATCTTGATTGACTAATGGGGCCAGAATTGGAAGCCAAGAGGGGGTCTTATCAGCAAAGCATCTAGTGCACTAGTAAAATTGGATTGTGTGTCTTCATCCATTCATAAGAAGGTCTACAGTACATTAAGGGTCCTCTAATAGAACACAAAAAGAAATCTGAAAATCCTACACCTGCACCCCCCACCCCAGTTTTCCAAAGAACATTGTAACATATGATTCTTTTGTATCATGGCCATTACAAGTAGGTCAGAATTATAAGGGACAATGGCCCTCAGTTGATGCAAAACATAGACTGCTTAGGAAATAAATATTACTTGCCAATCTGCTTCATTCCACCAAAAGAAAGTTTGAAAAAAATGCAAGGGCATGACTGACTGGAACAATGGTACCAAGATGATATTCTTTGAACAGCAATATCGTGTAGCAGAATATGAGAATGGACATCTCCATAGTAATTCCAGGAACACTTGAAGGACACTTATCCTCAGTGATTCAATGGAGGTAAGCTATTTTCATTTATCATTAATATGATATCTCATGCTCCTGAGTTTGTGTAACAGCACACTAGAAATGTTCTCATCAGACTGTGTTATTGGAACACAGACCTCACTTCTTCATGGTAAATTTCTTCACAGTAATTGTTTTGTTAAACTAATATAAGAAAAAACATAGAAAATAACAAAAATATATTTATTTTAAGCAATCAATTTATTAGATAAATGCAAAATATAATTGTTCCCTAGGTATTTGCTCGAAAGATAATGTCATAGTAAAGGTGGTAAGAAAATTAAATCCAAATGAGGAAAGTAAACTAGAATGCTTATAGATATTAAATATGCATTATATCATGAATGTATGGAGCCAGAGAAATGGTTTTATATGTTCATAGAAGTAACTTAAACAATGATAAATATCAATCAATTGATGATGGAGAAAATAGGGTGGATTTTTTCAGAATAAGACAAGGGATATGAGCAAACACAATTGAAGGTTTTTCTCTGCTTCTGTTTTCAGTAATACATCTAGTAGAAGTGAGAGAATCCACACCCTCCATAGTATGATGGGCGGCCCAATCCATACCCATAGCCTCCAAAGCCAGAGCCAAATCCATAGCCTCCATAGCCACAGCCATAGCAAAGTCTGTGGAAGCTGCCGCAGCCACAGCCATGTCCATAGCCCAGGCCACCAAAGCCTCCAAGTCTGTAGCCCAGGCCTCCATAGTAGCTGCCGTAGTAGCTCATGGTATCAGGTGTGGTGAGTTGGTTTGCTGTTCAAGGCAAGATCTTGAGTGTAAATGTCAGCAGGTGCAGAGAGCTGCTTATATAGTAGATCAGAGCATGTGATAAAGCATGTGCCCTCCTTCTGTGTCATTCCATGCATTATACTTGTCTGAGACAACTCATTAATCTATTGTCTCTTGAAAACCATTTACTAAGGAGGTCTGAACTTGCTTGGCTACCTACTTAGATGTCCTTTATCTTATTGCTTTAATTTTATTGGAAGAATTTCTGTTTTTTCCAAGTATACACATACCAAACCCTAAAGAGAATTCTTTATTACTAGCCACAAGATATCAGTCATTCAATACTTTAAAATATCTAACTAAATATATTCTAAAGGAATTGTGTGGTCATTATAATGGATTCTGCAATATTTCAAGTAATAGGCAGGCAGGATTTTTAAAGTTATCAATTTCTTGAAAAGACCCACATATTTTGTAACATGAGAAACAAGAAATATTTGATTCAGTGGCTGAAAGTACCAGAAAACAATAGCAAAACATCACTTGACTTTAGAGTTTTAGAACTTTAACTAACACAGTTGACATATTTACTTTTGGATTTGCAAACTAATATCCAAGATATTTGTACAATCACCAGTGGAGAGACTAGTGTATGGATCACAAACCCATCTCAGGAGAAGTTTTCCCAGAGTTCTCTATTTAGAACCTAGTTCTCTCTCTGTAATAAGTTCTGGCTTCAGCAATCCCACATGCAAGACTACACATGCTCCTTGCATCATCTCCCCCTCTTTATCGTTAATCATTAGACATGAGGCTTGTACCTTTTACAAATCTCACTTCAAGCATCGCCCAATGTCCTTTGCTCCACTTTTCATCACTGTATCCAGTTGAAAGCATGAAGCATGTAATATGGTTTTGACTATAACCATTTTTTTCAAATTAATACTATATCCCTTTTATGCAGATCTCCATGGTCAGTAAAAATTATCTTTGTCTTCACTTGGCCTGTTCTGAACCCATTTTTCATTTCCAGGCTATCTCTAACTATCCTGTCCAAAAATATCAATCAGATCTTTCTAAGATACTGATAAAGTTATTTATCACTTGAAACATATTTCAACTCTTAAAATAATTTGGAAAGTTAAAAGGATTTTTAGTATTTAGAACAACTTAAGAAATTCTCTAAAAAGAAGACAAAATTACAAAAAAAAAATTCTAAATATAGAGTAAAGAGACATTTTTTTTTAGGACCAGTTGTTAGCCGGGTGTTCACAGCGTCACTCAGTTCAGCCCAGAGAGGAGGAAACACCCAAGTCTGACCTCACCTTAAGCCTCACCAAGTGCACATTTTAACATTTGAAACTCATAAAACTTACTTGTTTCATATGACTCTAATTATACTGATAAGATATGTTTTATATTTTTGAGTAATATTTCAGTGACATAGTTTGAATACTGTAGTAGTTTATTCATAATTGAAAAGGGACACATTTCCCCCCCACTGGGTTTGTTCCCTGACCTATTGTCAAAATTAAGAATAAAATTTAGTTAATACTCAAAAACATTTTTTGAATGAAGTATATGGTTATATGACTTTAACAGACATTAAAGCAAGGCCACTCAACACAATGAGAGAGCTACTTACTGGTTATTCTAGAAAAATGTTCAAGGCTAGACATGAGTTCCAATAAGATGTCTGGTATTAGAATGTCACTGAACCCAATACTAGTCTTGCCCTGTGATACTTATGCTACTCTGATCCAACATCAATCCATTTTTACTCACCATTTCAGAAAAAATTGATAATTTCATTTTTAATGCACTATTTAGAACTGTAAAAAATTACATACTTAAGGATTTCATATTCTTCTTGTGTAACTCTGTCATTGAATGTGACTATGATCAAAGCCTATTTTTGGTTTTGAGGCAAAAGACTGTCTCCGTATATGGAAACAATATGATACACAAATGGAAAACTTTAATAGTACAGTGAACTATACATATTCAATAAAGAAAACATCTATTATTTGTGTAACTTATTTCTTCACTATAAAAATAAGAAAAGAACAGTTTGAAAAGTATGCAAAAAATCTGTTTGTTGCTTTTTGTTCACTGAATGCACAAGTTAAAGATGTCTCAAAGGAATTTTATTTAAAAGGATGGTATTTTGTCTGTCATTTCACTGGATCAAAAGCACATTTGCATCATTATTAATTTTTTAGAAGTTTTAATTTGTGACCTAGAATTCCATTCATTATGGGTAGAGGAAAAAATGAAAAATGTTTTTGTATTTTTTATACAGAGGGAAACAACTTTTGTTGTGCTTTCAAATATTTTTTTCTCAACTTAGATATAGATCAATGTGATCTTAAAATGAAATTATGATATGGATTATACTAAGACTATAACAGCAGTCATAATTATATTGTTTACTACATGAACAATATCCCTGTAGATACCATACATGTCAGAAAAAAAATGCTTCTAGAGACACCCTGTGCAGCTGATTCAGGCTATATAACTTGGTCTTTGACAGGTTTGCATAGTTCTGTTTTCACTGCTCAACCCACTATGGTGGTCCACTGACACTCAACAACATTGATTGAAAAAAGAGCACTATATGATGATGTTTGGTTTGATTTTTAACCCAGAGTTGAATTTTAACATTGGGTCATTAGATAATGACATTCAGAGTCAGATAAAATATTAAGTGTTTGGTTCAATTATCAGTATAAAAAAATAAAATGTTAAATAATCCTAAGTATTAATCTAAGAAAAGAAAAATACTAAAAAGGTATGGTGTGATATCACGACATATGTATATATACCAAGTCCTGATTAAATCAAGGCAACCATATTTTTCTTCTCCTTAATTTTTCTTTATGTTCGGAATGTTTTCTACCTTTCAATTTGCATATATTCATTTACATGCATTTATAATCATGTGTACACTGTATTTCTACTTGACAATTTTCAAAACTTAAGTATGGATACATAATTGAATTAAATAAACCAAACAAAAGCCATATTTTTAATTTCATATTAGATCATTTATTGGGAATTTAAACAGATCTGCATCCCCAATCTAGGATGAAGTCACAAAATGATTTCTGATTTCTCTGAAATTCTTATATTTCACCTGTTTTTAAGACTAAAGTCATCTAAGTCCATTGACTGAAGAATGTTTTAGCAAGTCCCTTCATAATAGCAGATGTTGAATTACCAGAGCAGGATTTCAATAGACGCAAGAGAATCCATATCTTCCATAGCATGACGGACGGCCACATCTATATCCAAAGCCTCCAAAGCCAGAGCCATATCCATAGTCTCCATAGTCACAGCCATAGCCCAGTCTGTGGAAGCTGCCACAGCCACAGCCATAGCCATAACCCAGGCCACCAAAACCTCCAAGGCCGTAGCTCGGGCCTCCACAGTAGCTGCCGTAGTAGCTCATGGTGTCAGGAGTGGTGAGTTGGTTTGCTGTTCAAGACGAAATGCTAAGTGTGAGTGTCAGTGGGTGCAAGGGGATGCCTATATACACACCTGTCCTGAGCCTAGCATGTGGTAAACCCGGGAGCCATTGTTTTGTATCATTCTAACTTATTAGTTTAGTTGAAGCAACTCATTAATCTGTTTGCTAACACAAGGAGAGGAATACAACTCGTTAAAATTTTTTAGATTGCTTCACTGCCTGGTTAGTCTGAGCTTGATCTCATTACATTCTTTTCTTAATGAGACAAAGTCTATGTCTTCAATGTTACAAAATTAAAAATTTCCGGAATAGAATTCTTTATAATGAAGCACTTTGCATCATACAACTTTGTTAGTGTTTTCTCATTAAATATATTCTTATTTCTATTTTTCGTATTATTCTTTGGACTGATATCTTTTACACCCATTCAGATTTAAATAAATGGTCAAGTTTAGAATCTTGAAATCTAGCACAGTCTGCAAATGTAAAATTTATTTCTTAGGTTGAGAAATCAAGGATATGCTTTCCTTCAAAACAAAAGCAATCATTTTGAGTAGATAAATCTGATTATCACTGATAAATATGGAAACTGATGAATAAAAAGTCATTATAGCAGCTCACAAAACTCTTTTTAATTTATCAATGTACTAAACTTTATGTCAGAAACTGAGGGACCGTCCAAAAATAAATTCTTTTATAACCAGCCTGAACATCTGTTCGCATGTACTCTCTTCATGCCATGACCTACTTTTCTAGAATAGATTCTATACAAAGTATCATCTAAATGGTCAGATGATCTTGGCTTCATGCTTTACATGCTTTTCTTCCTTGTCTACTATTCTTCATAATCCATATGTCTATTTTCCTTATCAAATGTCTCTTCAACCATGTGTTGAATTCATTCCCAGCACATACCAACACCATTTGGGTATTTTGTTCTTATCTGTTTCTACAAGCAGACTTTTATTGTTCTATTCATATGTCTGCTTTTAGAATTATGTATCTGCCTTTGCATATGTTTCATAGTTTTGTGTACTTCATTCCCCTTATTTACTAACAATCAGCTAGCATGCTTACACAAGACATTATTTGTTAAGCTTACAAATGTTTTAAGAAATATGTCTACACTCCTATATGCTATTTTTAACAGGGCATCTTAAAGTCCTGATGCCTAGGAAAATCCCCAAATATGAATCACAGCTTTGAAATGACTGTAAATAGAAACCAGGATGTGAAGGGAGCAGATCAGTCTTCCCAGAGATCTTCAACCCCCTCTGCAAATATGGGAAACCAAGCCAAAATGTAAGCTGCACTGGAATATGACTATGTCTTGGGCTTGAGTTTTCAATCAGCTTCGCATGACTTTAAACATGTACAAGAGTATTTTTGTTCTTTAGGTTTTTGTTTTCTTTTGTTTTGAGATCTGCAAATAATATTCTTGGTAATACATTTTCTCAACTGGATTGTTTCACTATTCTTCTAAAAAGGGAGGAAAAACCTTTGTTTTGTTGGATGAATGAAAAATGAATTTGACCAGTACGAAAGCGTAGAAATGATCTAAAGTAGAATATGGACTCACAATGGCTCATGGGTTTGAAAGGAATATTTAGCTCAATATTTGCCTTGGCTATTAAATACCTTTGTAACTTTTATCAAGATTTATTCCATCTTTACTTTTCATTCTGAAAAAGGTAACTGATGGCAAAATTTTTCATTCTCCATGAGTCATTTTGGAGGTAAGCAAATATAAGCATGCCAAGCAAGTTTAAGAATCTCATGAATGCTTGGGTGAATTTGTTAGGTTGTGTTGAAATGACCAAGGGCTGTTGATAATTGTAATTGCTTCTGATGCATATAGCTATGCCTATTTCACATAAAAACAGATAGGTAATGCAAATTTTTAAAAAATGCTCAGTAGTGAAATATGCCCTGATATATTTTTATTATTTAACCTGATTTATTTTCTCTCAAAGAAAAACAGTTATCTATCTAATGTATATCTCACTGTGATATGCATTTATATATATATATATATATATATATATATATATATATATATTCATAAGTTATGAAAAGATTCTATAAAGTATATGAATGAAAGCCAAAGCATTCAAATACTTTTTATCAATTTTTTTAGGTTGAAAAAAAATAACAATGGCAATATACTTTGGCTGCTGAACAGTAGTCTCCACAGACCTATTGTATTGGTAGTGTGGTTTTGAAATTGTGCATTTCTTCACCTCTGGCTTTCTTTTAACTGTTGTTTCACTTATGATTCAATGAAGGGATTTGGTTGCATTCAAGACTCTACAGTTTATCATATCTGCTCAGAGGCCTTGTGAGGTCCCTTTCAGAGGGAAGGGAGCATTGGAAATCCCAGAGGCATCAACTCATCTGCTCTGTGTCAGGGGAGAACTTCAGGGGAAAAGTGGAGATATGGTCATCACTTTTCTATTCGTTTAGAACATTGATTATTATAATTTATAGTTTCCATTTTTTATTTTCCTTGATTCATAAATACAAGCCATTTTGATCTGATAATCCTAGCATACAGTTGCTCAAACATTAAAGTCAGTTCTCCTTGGTTCATGTCTCTTTTTATTCAGTTCTTAAAACCTTGCATTTATGAGTTTCACAATAAATTTTGCCTTTGCTTTCCTTTTGTTCATTTTTTCATACACAAGGAATATCTATCTTGTTCTCAAATATATTAAATATTAATAGGGTCTTAAATATTGATTATATTCCACCTCCAAAGACCCTGTAGAGTTCAGTGAGAGACTACTAACACTGGGAATGTCTTTAGAATCTTCAAAACTATAAATACAATGTAAAAAGATGGGGTGTAGGAAATAATATTGGAGACAAGAAGTTCCTCGACTGTGTCAGCACCCAACACTGAAGTGAAGGCTGGCTAATCCCAATGCAAATATGCTTTCAAATTGATTTTAAACATATAATTAATTGATGCTTTACATCTTTACATATAGAGATCATTTTTAGGATCATTGATTTTTTTTCATTTTTCTGAGTCTATAGTGATATCTGAAAATTATTTTAATTTGGTTTACCTAATTCATAATAATATTAGTGATTGTTATATATGCTTCCAGGTCACTTTAGATATCCTCTTCATAGGCCTGTTCAAATATTTTGTCAACTTCATATTTGGCTTGTAATATTTCAGTATTTATTAGCAGGACTTATTTACATATTTTTGTATATCTATGCATTTTGTCAGACTTATGAATTGACAATAATTTCACCCCTTATGTAGTTAGTTTTATTTCACATTAAGTAGTATCCATATAAGAATATAATAATATAGTGAAATCTACTTTATTAATCAATTAATTATATGTTTAGTTCTGTTTGATTCTAATTAAGGAATATCTAATATTATTACTTAATTTTTTGTCAGCTTTCTTTAAAACTTATGCTCTTTAATCAATTATTTTAAAGGAAACTAAACAGACAGTGGTAATTCGGGTATTTAATTCTCATTACCTCAAGAGAAAGCCATATAAGTCACAAATAAATCAAACAAGTTTTATGATGTTATCTTCTACCTATTTAACTTTGCCAAGAATGCATCAGCTTTGGGTCTGATGATTGCATTTTTATATGTTATCCAAAGGATAAGCAAATATGTTCCCTGCAAGTAAAGATATCCTGGAATATTTCTTTGTAATTCTCCAAGAATCCACAAAAGCAATAAATTCAAGATCTGATACTATGATAATGCTATATTATAGTAGATGTATTAAGCATTTTCTCCTGGTAGTTGCATTGAATATTTTTATTTATTACTACAGAAAACAGAATAAATATTGTTATACTCTATTAAACTAAGTAGTGAAGTCCTCCACTGGAATCACTCAGCATTCCTGCTTCATGCTTGCCAGTGTAAAGTAATTTACTATGACTAAATGGACTCAAAGATCATTCTTACAGGCAGGCTGCATAAAGATATTTTTCTATGCTTAACAAGCAAGTCTGAAATAGGTTGGGTGTGTAGCTCAGTGAGAGAGTGCTTGCCTCATGCAGAAGGACCAAGTTTCAGGTTCATGCGTTGGTCAGATTTCCATTGCTGTGACCAAAATAAACAACAACAACAACAACAAAAAATCAAAGGAGGACAAGTTTGTCTTGGCTCATGCTTTCAGAGTTTTCAGTCCATGATCACATGGTTATATTTTTCTCTGAACCTAAGTTAAGACAGAATATCATGGTAGAAAGGCAAGATGGTAAAAAGCTTCTCAGCTCTTGGCAGCCAGGAAGCAAAAAAGAAAAATAGAAAGGGGCTGGAGCAAGATATAGACCCTAAGGGTATGCCTTGAGTGACCTACTTTTTCCAACCATGCTCCATCTGCATGCAGTTTTTACCACCTTCCAATAGTCCATTTTTATTAACTCATCAATGAATTGATCCATCGATGAGGTCAGAGCCCTCTTGACATAATCACTTTCCCAAATCTCCTCCTCTGTATACTATTGCATGAGGATCCAAGCCTTTGATATATGGTACACTGGGGACATTCCAGGTCTAAACATGATACCTGACACACAGAAACACACACACACACACACGCTAGTCTGAATCTTTCTGATTCATCTTAATACTTTAATTTTATTTGAATTTAGCATAAGCATTGTTTACTACTTATTTTATTCAGATACAGCTAAAGTTAAAGTTGGTAGATTCAAGGATCATCAGAACTAAAATTCTTAAATAAAAATAGATGTTTAATGTGGAATGTGGACAAATCTTCATAAACTGAATGTGGTAATTGCATAAACCCAGGAATAGAATTTTTAGGGTTTTTATTTAATTACTTTTTGAAAACACTCAAGAAGAAAAATGAACAACAAAGATAAAGCTAGCATTTAAACAAATAAATGCATTGATAAATGCCATTCAAATTCAGACAGCTGAAATATTCTATATTTATTCAAGTACAGATAGAGGACATCAGGATGCATGTAATTACAGGATGAAAAATACTCTTAAAATAGACTCTTAAAATATTTTTTGCTATTGGTTTGGTCCAGAGAAACATTTTTTGATTCAATTTTTGCCAAATTTGCTTAATCCTCTTATGGACTCAGAAGTAATGTTCCTCTGGGGAGGATTTCAGTAGAAGTGAGAGAATCCATATCTTCCATAGCATGATGGACGGCCACATCTATATCCAAAGCCTCCAAAGCCTCCAAAGCCAGATCCATATCCATAGCCTCCATAGCCACAGCCATAGCCCAGTCTGCGGAAGTTGCCACAGCCACAGCCACAGCCATAGCCATAGCCCAGGCCACCGAAGCCTCCAAGGCCATAGCGCAGGCCTCCGTAGTAGCTGCTGTGGTGACACATGGTTTCAGAGGTGTTGAGTTTGGTTTGCTGTTCAAAGCAAGCTCCTGAGTGTGAATGTCAGCAGGTGTAGGGGGGTGCTTATATACCAAACTCAGAGCATGTGATAAGTCACGTACATAACCTACTTGTGTCATCTTTAAAAATTCCAATTGCTTAACTGTACTCATTAACTCACTGTCTTCTGACACGAGGAGCAAGCTTTGCATTCATTAAATTATTTGAGTGTGCTTAGCTACAGAGTTAGGGTGGCCCTTAAAACTTATTGCATCATTTAATGAGAAGACTGACCTTGCTTGCTTCAATATTTGCTTTGTCTTCAAAGTCTGGCATACCATTCCCCAAATAGAATTTTTCATAGACAGGCATATGATGTTAATCACATTTAATAGTTGTGTTTTTCAAGTAAATATTTTTTACATGTCTGTTTTTCCTTGAATTGATATGCTTAATTTACAAAATACAGAAATGTGCCAAATTCAATGCTTTGTAATCCATCATATCCTTTTAAAGCATCTTATTCCTCAGCCTAAAAAGTGAATTATCAATCTTCTTCAGCAATAAGGAAATAAACATTTAAAGATCATAAAGCATTGATTCAAATGTTACCCACTAGCAATAAATTCTAAAAATAATGAAGGGATCTCTTTTTTAAGTTTTGAAACACTTATCATCATCATTCCTATTGCCTACTGCTTTGGGTAATAAAACATTTCTGATTTTTATGATACGGTTTTTATGATTGTTACTTACTATTATTAACACTTATTTATGAACTAAAATCCATTCTTTGCATTAGGATTCACTCTTTGTATTGTATAGTTCTATTGACTTTGAAACCATGCAAAAAATTGCTCAGAAACTTTGATCAAAATACCATCATCAAAATTTTAACTCACAGGCTGGGATTGTAGCTCAGTGATAGAGCACTTGCCTAGCATGTATGAGGTGCTGGGTTCGATCCTCAGCACACATAAAAAATAAATTAATAAAATAAAGGTATTGTGTCCAAGTATAATTAGAAAAAAAAGTCAAAAAAAATTTATCTCAGAAGCAACTTTAAAGGCTGATAAGGAATCTACCTCTCAGATTCTAACCCTCTTACTTGTCATATTATTTCAATGTTTTCCAAAAATGCAAAGAACATTTTCCCCTTTCTTTATTGTTTCTGCCCTTTCCTGATCAATATATTTGATATCTTATATATCCTTTTTAAAGTTAATAGACTTTACATTTGGAACTGTTCTACAATTAAAGAAAAATTGATTATAAATAGAGTTTTCTTATATCCTCCATATTTATACACAGTTTCCTCTTATTAACATTTAGCATTAGTATTTATTGCTCATGAATTACAATTGATGAACCAAATTGATAAATTATTAATAACTAAAATTCCACCATTTAATTAGGATTTACTCATTATATTTTACAGTTTTGTGGGTTTAGGCAAGATTATAAAGTCAGGCTAAAACAATTATATCATCATAATTTCACTGATCCAAAAACTCAAGTTTCACCTCCTCTTTCTTCACTTCTCTAAAATTTTTGGCAAACATAGATCTGTTTATCAGGTCTATAGATTTTTATGTTTTCCTCCAGAATATCTTATAGTCAGAACCATACAGTATTGTGGCCTTTTCTTATTGAATTCTTTCATTTAGCAATATGCTTTTAAAATCCCCTCCTTTCCTCAGTAGCTCATTTCTGTTTATCCCTGTCTACTATTCCACTGTATACATGTAACACAGTTTGTGAGTTCATTTAGTTCATGAAAGGCAGCTTTGTTTTCAAGTTATAGCAACTATGCATAAAATTTCTGTTTTGGTCAGTTTTTCATTACTGTGACTAAAACACCTGACAAAAGCCACCTAGAGGAGGAAAGTTTTATTTTGTGTCATGGTTTCAAAGGTTTAGTCTATGGTCAGAGGACTCCATAGCTCAGGGCCCAAGGTAAGGCAAAACATCATGGTGGAATGGTATGGCAGTGAAAATCATCTCAGGACAAGGCAACCAGGAAGCAGAGAGTAAGATCTGCTCAGCAGGAGTAAAATATAAAGTGTGAAGGCTCTCCCTGAGCCACACCGTACTTGCCTACAGTTATCAACCCAGTAAATGTATATCAGTGGATTAATCCACCTATTGTACACTTCACCTTTGAACATTCTTACATTATTATCTCACACATGAGCTTTTGGAGTATACTGCAAAAAGCTAAAGCATAACAACTTCTATAAACATTTGTGTTCAGGTGGACATAAGCTTTCAACTCATCTAAGTAAATATCAAAGAGTGCAATTACTGGATCACATAGTAAGAGTGTCTTCAGCTCTACAAGAAACTGCGGAATGATCTTGCAAATTTGCTGTACCATTTCACATTCCCCTAAGCTATGAGACTTTCTGTCACTCCAGATCCTCACCAATACTTGTTGCCAGTGCTCTGAATTTCAGCCATCCTATTAGGCATGTTAAAAATCCCTTTTAAAATATAACCCACCATGTGTTCTCCCCTTAGTTACCAGGTTAACATAGATGAAATTGTGAAATATGTAAATTTATTGAAACCCATCATTTTAAAAATTCTTTCTGTTCTCATTTGTTTGTTTTGGTGTAAGACAGTATGATTTAGAGGTAAATGTCTCCTAGCCACAGCTGACAATATACTCACATTGAGTGCACATACTCTGTAATAACAATGCTGAAGAATAAAGACCACATATGATTAAAATGTTATACTTGTAAGCCTATTTTCCTTCTTTTAGTAACTTTTACACTTAATTTTAGGAGTAGATAGTGAATTCAGAATGCACAATACACGTGGTGTAAATGCTTGGAGATTTTGATAGCAGTTCAGGTATAGATCTTCTGTTCTGCAGAGACAATGTATAATATAGAAGTGGACAGATAAAGTCCTTTATAATAGATTACTTTATACACAATCCGTTTCAATTCTCTCTTGTACAGTTATCAGTATTCATTTTAATCAATCTTTAGCTTCAGATGCTTATAGAAAACAAAGGAAGAAATTATATAGAAAGAAGGGTGCTTCCCACAATCTCCATCCTCTGGGTTGATGGTTTCTGTATTTTTTATTTTTTGTCCTGGAAAAACAATTTGCTCAGACAAAACAAAGAGAGACCCTTTGTACAGGTGCTTTCAGTTCCCCAGACATTTTTGAGGTGATTAGATGAAGGGGGTTTAAATGAGTCTCAAAAAAATTATCCCCCAGAACTTCTCAGTGAGAACCTATGGTGCTCATGTTGATCTCCTTGAGCTTAACCTAGGTCACCATATTACTGGAATTCCTCTGAATATTCCACAAACAAAATATTGTGGGTTAATTGATTCAAGTAGGGTATATGACTCATAGGCATAAACCAGATAATTCTATAAGTGTAAACATTTGGTGTAATCTTGTGTATTAGTGTGTACATTTTAAACCAAATGTACTTCATACTTGATCAAATAGTTCATATTTTTTAATAATTTTCTTTTGGTACTTTTGCTTTTTTTATTGGTTCCTTATATTAAGTTTCATAATATTAGGGCTCTTTTTGACATAATCATACATACATGGAATATAATTTGCCCCAATTCAGTCCCCAGTACTTCAAATTTCTCTTCCTTCTCCTTCCCCTGGTTCACTCAGCTACAACTCAGTGTGGCTGGAGGAGGTGGGTCCTTGGGGACATGCCTTTGGCTATTCATATTGTATTTGGCAAATGGAGTTTCTCTCTCTCTCTCTCTCTCTCTCTCTCTCTCTCTCTCTCTCCCTCCCTCCCTCCCTCCCTCCCTCCTACCTAATCATCATGTGAGCCACTTTCCTCTGCCACCATCTTCCACCATGATGGTCTACCTCACCTTGAACCCCGAGGAATGGAGGTGGTTGCTATGGATTGAGACCTCTGTGACAGTGAGTCCCCAAATTAACTTTTCCTCCTCTAAAATTGTCCTTTTTGGGACTTTTAATCACATCAGTGAAAAAGCTGCTCCCTTCATCTGCAGTTTCATTTTCTACACTTTTAGTTGCCTACCGTCAAACATGGTGCTTGTTTTAATCAGCTTTTTCACTGCTGTGACTAAAATGACTGTACCAGCACAATTGTAGAGGAGGAAAAGTTTATTCAGGGGCTTATGGTTTAGCCATCTCAGTTATCGGAGCAACTGTCCTGGTAGCAGAGTTTGTGTTCAAGCAACTCTTAAGTAGCCAATGCTACGTCACAATGCCAGCGTCACCTCACCTCATTCCATCATGTAGGCACTGTGTCACCTCATATCACCATGATAAGAAGCTAATCATACAAAACATTTTCAGAGATTTTACATTCACAAGACTTTTATTACAATATACTGTGATAAATGTTCTGGTTAATTATTAGTTTTTAATATTGTATCCAGTATATCAAATAAATTTTGTCTTGAGTACATATGCATGGGAGAAATAGAGTTTGCTGCTATCTTAATAAGTTTTAGGCATCCCCTGGGGGAGGGGTTAGAAAACTTCTGCCATGAACAGTGGGGGCAGAACTGTATGCCTCCACTACTTCAGCAAGCATGCCATATCCCAGAATGTTTCCATTGATTCTTTTTAATCAATATGTTTCCCAGAGGTAACCATCTTTTTAAATTTTAACACCTAACATCAATAGATCTTGTCAGTAGTTTTCCAAAAGGGATTTTAAGTTTTTAGTCTTCCTAGCATATAATACAGTTCTAGACACATCTGTAGCAATGTCCTGTTTTAACTATTGACTCCCCTTGTGGGCATGTAGTAATAATAGCAGAGTATTGTTTTATTTTGATATTTATCTGATGGGCAATGACAGTGGGCATCATTTCATATTGGTCATTTAGATACCTTCTTTTTGAAATGTCCTGCTCAAGTGTTTTGCCGATTTTCAAGAGGGTTTGTAATATCAGCATTGATTTATAGGAGCTCTTTATAGACAGATGTTTTGTCAGATGTTTGTCTTGAAAATATTTACTTTCAGTATATATTTGGTTTGTTCCCTTTAAAATGTCTAATATGAAAAGGTTTTACTG